CTGATACATAAAACCATAGAACTCAAAGAGGGTGTACTTTCTTTTTCACACAACTGTATATACTGCTGATCTCTGTTTGTAAATAAAGAATTTGATTTGAATTTAGTTGTTAACAACTTTGTCACAGTGTCAGTTACTAAAATACCAGCTTATTGATGATTTACAAGCTGAATAATCAATGCCTCAAAGTATTGTTGGCTTTTGTTTAATGAGATAATACTGCCATTCAGAGGAACTACACCAATTTGCTAGTGCCAAGAGGTTTGCAAGTTGAAACAGTTGGAAGATGGGTATTCCAAGGAACTGGGATTAATTTGGATCCCAATTCATCCAGAAGAAAAGTTATAAGAAGGCTTTGGGGGAGGTATGGTTAACTGACAACAGCTCTGTGAAAGTGGAGCTGACAACTGTGGCAAAGAGCAAGGAACCGGTGGGTAGACTGGTTCCTCGGAACCTCTCCAGATAAGGAGAGGATCGGAGATCGCCCACTTGTGCTCTAGATGTCTGCTCCTCAGAAGGAGACAGCAGGACAGCAGTTTTTTATGGGTTTGAGCACTGGGAGACAATGGGATTAGCCATCTTGCTCACAATCATGGCAGAACTTTTAAAGGACACTAAGTTTGCAAACCTCCCTATCTAATCAGTTTTGGAAATTGCTCATTAACTACTTCTAAGCTATTAGAGACCTTTGGAATGACAACGCTGGGTGAGTCTGCCCTTAATCCTGAATGAAAGAAAATTTTAATTATAAGCTTAAGTATTTAAAGAATCTGAAATAAACAGCAAAAAGCTAAATAAGATTTTGATCCTAGAAAGTTATAAACAGACTAAGGGTCCAGATAAAATTGGAATATTGTAACTTTTATATTAAGGTTTTGGAATTAATTATAAAGTACAAACAGCTTTTCGTGGGAAATAGATCCTGTTTTGGTTTTTACAAAACATAACACAGATAATAAAACATAACAAAGAATTTCATGATTTCAAAAACGACACTATAGGGGACTAAAGATTTTAGGTAGAGGGAAGATATACAGGCCTGAAAGATGGTGCAAAATGTCATGATAATAAAAATACTGAAGGAGACTTTTGAAGAATGGAATCAGAAAGTAGTAGCTATAATATCAACACTGTCAGTAATCATGTCTGCTTCTGTGGAAAGACTATGTCCGAAAGATGTTACTGAAGAAATGACAGATGTAGAACAAATTTTATCTGACAAGATAGAGATGGTATTGAAAGTGGATTTACAATTGACAGGCAAACAGAATGACTTAGAAAAGGATGTTTCACTGGATCTAGTTTTAAAATTTAAAAGGGAAATACAAATGACAAACCAAGATAGTAACCTGGATAATTTTTTCCTACTGGGTGTCCAAAAGAGGCTTGTTAAAGCCTTGAAGAACTCTGTGTGATAGGACAAAGAAGAAATGAAGAGAACTCAAATCCTGCAACAATATTTGAATGAACTAAAGATTAAGACTGTTAGAAGTAAAGGGAAGGAATATAAAGTTGGTCTGTTTGATCAAGTTTAAAATAATGTATATTGTCACTTCTGGCTACCCTTTATGGACTTTCTGCTGATACCAGGACTGAAAAGATGATGCTTTATGGATTTGTTTATAGA